TGGTGGATTATCGGTAGATCATTCCAGAAGCATTCTAGAACCGTTATCCATTTTTGGTAATATCCCTGACTGTAGTACCCGGGTATAAATCAAAATTAAGCCACTAAATCTCACCCGGTATAAATCATAGGGGGGTACTCGAGTCAGCACTTTACGGTAGGTCAAAAAATAAATAGCCGGGTTTTCTTTCATTAAAGTATAAAGGGCGATTTTGCGACAATGGAATTTCAACCGCCTTCTGTCTCGCAAGTTGAGCAAGTATTTACCATCTTTTATTTTAATTTACTTTCTTCACTATAATCTTTTCAGTTTTGGACCCTTACAGCCCGAACCTTTATAAGATAATAGTTCAACTTTATGAAAGCGTTGATCCACACTTCCAAAAATCAGCACAAGAGTACATACAAAATCTTCAAAAGCAGCAGTATGCTTGGGATTTGGCTCCTCAACTATTAGCCTCCCAGGTCAACCAGCGCTATTTCTGTTTCGATCGTTATTTTGACGTGTAAAGATGTGAAAAATCCATTGTAAATCCTCATCGAAATTTTGCTTTTATTTCTAGTCAGTTAATTCCCAATTCATTGGGGCTCACATCTTTCAAGTCAAAATTTCTAGAGACTGGTATGAATTATAACTGATTAGAATCATGGTGCGATATAGTATCATCAGATGTGAAAAATGTTAATGCTCTTTTATAATATGAAAAATTATATAATCATTTCATTATTTTTAATACGCGAAAAGGAATACTTTGCCCCTTGATCGAAAGAAATGGATTCGCACAGAGCTTCTTGGATGGATTGTCCGTCTTTCTGGTGGTTCTAATGTTGTTGTTACAAAGCTTTGTCTGGCTGTAAGTTAGGTTTATCAAAGCCTGTATTTAAATTACTATTCGATGATCACTAATAAAGTTATCACACGGTTTAAAAGCTCACTGCTTATGCAATACAAGCTGTACCAGATATTTGGTCAAATTTTATACCTGACTTTTTCGAAATGTTACATTCTGGAGTAATTGCTGCTCAAAGTCAGGGCCAGTCCTTATTCTTTGAGTTACCGCTCCTAGAATTTCTTACTGTTGTTCCTGAGGAAGTTTTACGGGCAGATTTAATTGGGGAGCGAAAGTAATGGCCATAATTATTACGAAAAATCGTATATCATGTTACGTATTCTAATATCATATACTCGATGTTTAGGGCTAAAGTTTATCAGGAACTCACCAATTCCATCCCAAGAGTGTTTTCGACATTACAATCTTTATTATCTGAATACTACGGCCATCCAGAACGTGACATAATATTGAAACAAAAATGCCTACGATGTCTACAAAGCTGGATTTTATATGGTGTCCCATTTGAGTAATATATTCGTTTTCTCAAAGTGAACTTCATTTACATTTATCAGAAGTTTTCCTAATTTGTAATTGCTATGTAGATCTCTTTATCTACTTATCGATAATGTTATAAATCTCTTTTCACTTGAATCGACCAATGACGCGGCAACTGAAGTATTAGTGGAATTCATATCACAACCTCGTATCACATTGTATCAGAATACAGTGTGCGAGAAGATGCTTATTTGCATGACTAGTAATTGGGCTAAAGCCCAAATGATTAATGGTAATGCACCAACTCAAAATATTTAGGTTAAAAAGCAGTATTTTAGATACAGTCACACCCCCATAATCACACCATTGGGACCATTAGAAACTTTATAAAAATGTTCTTATATAGAGAATGTGCTTATGTAGATAACTATTTTTATATAATTAACAGAAAAAAAAATTCATATGATGTACTTATATGGGAGTGCGATTATATTTATTTATTTATTTATTTTATTATATGCTACGAAATCACATTATGGATTGACAAATACTTTATTTAACCTTTCAGATATAGATGAATCGTTGCCAAGAAATCTTTGCAGATTAATGACAACTTTTGGAGAAAATTTTTATAATTACATTGCTATACACTTTTTACGACAAGATGTAATTGTTTACATAGAGATGATGTTAATGTTTGCAGGATATCCGGGTTATTTCGGCCAAGATCAGGAGATATCTTTTTTTTTTTTTCCTTCTTCCTAGAATTTTAAGTCAGTGTACCTCCTTAACAACCAATTCTACATTAGTGAGATGCCATTGCAATTTTGGTATCTACTACAAGAACCCTTATTCGACCCAGATATCATTCCAGTTAATAATGCTGATAATGATAGTGTCAGCGGGGAGGACGCGGTTACATCAAATTTACATATTACACCGGATGAAGCTCGAAAAATACATGAAACGTCCTTAATTGTGTTTCGAAGATTAATTGAGATTTTAAGAAGTAAAATCCAATATCCACCAGACACAGAGTGGTCCGAATGGACTAAAGGTATGCGATTTAAGTATTGAATTGGTTCTTAATTTACAATAATAACAATAACTAACGCAATCCAAATAGATGTGAAAGAACAGTTTAAAATATATAGAAGAAATGTCGGAGACACGGTTATGAATTCATATTATATATTACGGGATCAAATGTTAGCATTCTTTGTAGATCTCGCAATTACGCAATTGAATTCACCGGGAAGAAATCCAAGTCAGTGGCAGGTATATATAACAAATGTACTGCTTGTTTATCTATTATTAATTATTGACGGAGTTTTTATTTTAGGATCTAGAATCAACGTTATTTTGCATCAAATCTATAGCTGAAGCCGTAGACAATAACGAAAATATATACTTGCCTCGTTTATTCGGCGCAGAAGTATATGGAATGCTGCCTTTGCAGGGGCATATTCGTCTAAGGAACACAGCTCTCTCTCTTATCGGTAATTTAGATAGAATACTTTGTTATATTTTGTAATCTCAGTTCTAGACTCATCGTAGGTTCTTGATTGAAGGTTCTTATGCTGATTGGTTTAAATCTCATCCCCAATACATATTATCGGCTCTTAATTACCTTATACCTGCACTAAGCGACGCAGAGTTGGCTCTTTCAGCTGCCATGTCATTCAAAGAAGTGTGCGACGCGTGCCGTGATTCATTAGTCGGTGACATAGATAATCTTGTTAACATGTATATGGTCGTTGGCCCACATATTCAAGTATGTATATGTGCATATTCTGTTAATTTTTTTTTACAATGAGAATCTTAAGTTTTATGTGATTTAGCCTAGAGAAAAACAGAAAGTTATCGAGTCTATAGCTGATGTGATTCAAGCTTTACCACCTGATAAAATGTTGCAACCGTTAATGGTAAGTTTGGTCCTTGTTTAATTATATAGTTTTTCAGTAAATATATTCTAAGTTTAGTATTTCATTAGGTCATTACGAATGATATCATACAGGCAATGAGAGAAGCAGTGCTTTGTGGGAAACAGGTTTTTTTTTTAAACTTTATTTTCGTTTGTTATTTATGTTCTGTTCGTAATCAGAGGCCTATTGATTGCAAATAGAACCCTCCACAATATCGAGAAGTTATAATAGCACAATTAGAATATCTTACATGTTGTTGTCGAGGAATTCAACCACCTGATGATAAAGTTGTCATTTTAGATGATATTGGGCATGAATTGCAGCATGAAAAAAGCTTTTTTGCTACTGGTTCGAGTGTAGGACTTGTTAATACTTTACTAGAAATTACTAGTAACATTGCGGAAATATGGTACCATGATAGTGAAGTTATAGAAGTAAGTCCAGTTTTTAGATTCAATGATTACATATATATGCCTCTGTCATGACTTAATGAATTTACTTCTATGTTAGTATCTTTGTAAATTTCTCAGTATTGGAATCCGTACCAATTCGAATATACTTTCCATCCCTTTCGAGATGATCGTGCCTTTAATTCAGATCTCGTTTCAACGAGATCATCATTCTTATTGGCTAGACACAGCAGCTAAAGTAGTGACTATATATGGTTCAAATAATAAATATGGCAACGCTTTGAGGGATATGTTAGTTGCTCTTACATCCACTACTATACAACATATTAGGAGTCAAGCTGGTAATCCGATTGGACATTTTATTTTTCATTGTGACACGGCAAATTTGATTTGATTAGAAATTATAATTTTCATGTTTAGATATGGAACAATATCCTGATATAGTTAACTCCTACTTTTCTGTTCTAACAAAAGTATATATTTTTTTTTTACTTGCTTGAAGCATTATGTTACAAATATAATAACTGCATTTTCTTTTTAGCACCTTCAAAAATGTCCGTTATTATTTTATACATTACCCTCTGATATGTTCAAAAGTATTTTGACATTTTCCGTTGCAGGCTTAGGTTTACAAGAGAGGCTTGCACTGAAGTCTGCTGTGACCTTTATGGTATGCTCATTAATTCGTTATTGTTACTAATCAGTTGTTTTGCAATAATTAACTTTAATTTACTTGTAGGGTGAATTTATTGGACAGCATTTCAAAGAGGAACAATTCGCGAAAGGAGTAGAGAATGTTATGATGACGTATGGATTAGAGATAATGAAAGAATTACTCTTGGTATATATTAATTTTATTTTATTTGACAAAGTAAACCAAAAAAAAAAAAATAATTAAACAGTAAAATAAAATTGGTTAAGGGAATTGGTGGTAGATTACCACGGTCTTTTGTTCTCTCTCTTGCAAACGTGTTATACAAAATAACGGGACGTTATATTGAGGCCAGTAGAGAATGGCTAAATATTTTGCTATCACAGGTTAGTTAAATATTTACAACTGTTTTCAAAAAGGTATGAGTAACGATTTCCATAGCTATATGGGGAAATCGAAGAACCAGAACATTCTGGTTAGTAAAAATTAAAGATCCGATTGGAGTGTGATATGGTGATCTGCATCTGTTCGTTCATACCTTGTTGAAAGCACCTATAACATTCAATATCATTACGAAATTTGTGATGAATGATTATCAACTCTCCTATAATTTCCTACGAATATGAAGGAAAAATTTCCATCTCCGCACGTAGATCAATATACAAAACAAAACTTTGCTAAGGCTATTTTAAGGTAGTGTTCCTTTGTTCGATATATATATATATATATATATATATCCTTATTTAACAGATTGTTATTATTAGTACGAGATCTTTGCAACGTTTCAAAGACCTAGTAATTGAATTTTCGATTAAATGTCGAGACCTAGAAGATTCTGCATATGGGCATACATGATTTTAGAAATTTGTTGCTATTCTGTAGATAATTAATTCATATATAGTGTATATATCTGCATTTTTCATGTTTTAATGGTTTTGCCTATATGCTTTACAGTTGTTATAAACTTTTAAGCATTTAATTGAGAAATGCATATATTAGTCGACAGATATAATCTTATGTATTTTAAAATGGTTTGTATTCTATTAAAGAATATATAATTGTGATGTGAATGGTTTAGGTACATCAAATGTGGGTAATTTTAATATTTTAAAGTTTGTAGTAAAATATTTTTATATTTTAGTATACGGAATAAATTAAAAATTTGTTACGTATAATTGTTTTAATTTTTTTATTACCGGCAGGATGTTACATAGTGCCTTTTGTATTGATGCATCCTTTCTATATCTCAAAATTTTAACATAAAACCACCTTTGGAGCAAAATACTATTCCTGATGGATCGTCAGCACCTACCTTGATGGTATTAAAAAAATTTAGGTATAGAGTTCAAAAAACAAATTCTAATTTTTTTTCTTTACATATAATAGTATAGTATATATTTTAGAAATTCTTTTTAAAAATTTATTAAAAACAGTAAATAAAATTGATTTTTTCTACTCGATCAAGAATAGTACTGATGGTCTATGTATCAATATTTTTTCATCGTTGAGGATATTAATTTTTGCTAAATTTTGCTATAAACTACAGTGCTAACCTCTAAATTTTGCTGATCTTGATGAGTTTAAAAATATTTTAAGATACGCAGAGAACAAAATTTATGATGGTCATACTCAACATACAGAGCAGACTTTGGAACTCTTCATGGCCATGAGAATTGGGCTTAAAATGGCAAGCAACCCTACAGAAGGAAACTTATTCAAATAATTACCAACATTACTAGATTCCTATGATTTGGATATTTGCTACAACAAATACTTACTACATCATAAGCTTTCTCTTCTAAAAGGATCTTAAACTATACAATTATTCTACTCTCATCTAGACAAACATACATGCTTCACATCTTAAAAATCTATTATTTCATTCTCTAAAGATAAAAAAGAAGCACACATTTATTTACCAAATGAATCTAAGCTATTATCAAATCATACTCTGCCACTAATCTGGAATATTCATGAAATACTTCTCAAATCATATATCAACACACCAAGCTCTTCTTCTATTTCACCTTCCTATTTTAATGCTTTTTATACTACACAAAATTTAACTAATAATTCTATCTTTAACTTTCCAATTAATCTAACAATCAAACATACCTTAATTCCTATCAAAATTGGTTCATTAAATATCAATAGACTATTACAATCTAACAAAAAACTGTTTTTATTTGAAATACTTAATAATGAAACATTTGATATATTTGAACTCTCTAAAATTCATTTTTTAAAACAAAAAACAAAATATATTAACTTACTTACTAACAAATACTCTAGTTTCTGGAGCTCTTACAACAACCTACATCAAGCTGGAGTTGAAATTCTTATATATAAAAAAATCTCCAAATATATTGCATATTCTCATAACTATAATGGTCATACAGTATTATAGATCTTGACTTATATTTTAAAAATATATCTATTAGAATATTTCTAATCTATATTCCTACACAAGAAAAGAAATAATTATAAAAAAAAATCTTTGAACAAATTATTTTATTATTACAAAATATCTTTTACAAAATCATTATTTTAGGTAATTTTAATGAAGTTCTTAATTCTCGACTAGATCACTCTCCTTCTAAAAAATTATCTATACCTAAATATCAACTCATTAAATATCTTATTAGCTCTCAATTCAAGGACACTTATTAGTTCTTTTTTTCAAACATACCTAACTACACTTTTCAATGCTTTAATACTCAAAGTAGAATTGACCAAATTTGGACAAATTTTTCTCTTATCTACATACACTATATAGATATACTTACCAACTTTACACTTGAATTTGATCATAGTATTATTACTTTAAAGATTGCAATTATTATTAATAAGCCAAAACCTCACAAACAATACAAACATAAAATCTTTCTTTGAAAAAACTGCTCTAAAGAAATTTATGAAAATTATGCCAATCAAACTTCACAAAGTCTTCAATAAATTAATTTTAAAATCTCTTCAATCTCTAATCAAAACCAACTTAATAGCACTTGGAACAAAATTCATTTCTTTTAAAAAAGTTAATACAATCTAAAGAGTTCTAGAAAACTCTAATTTAAAACATCCTCAACAATATTATCACTATAAAAAAATATAATTTTTTAAACATCATTACAACTCATCAAATTTTAACACACTTCTACAAAAATATTTAACTACTTATCCAGATAACTCTATTCAAATACTCACACCTACTTTGATTTAACTCAAAAATGAACTAAACTTTACTAAAATTGTACTCAACTATCATTAACAACAAGCTACTTACAAAAAAATTAAACAAAAAATTTAAAATCGCAATAAATTATTCTCAGAAATACCTAAACTCTTTTACAAAAAAATCCTTAAAAGATACAATAATATTCGAATAGACAAAGTATTCACAAACAACTCTCTAATTCATTTTTTTTGAAATTAGAAAGCTATTAGATAATTTTTATTCAGTAGAAATTTTTTGGAGTTGCAGATATTTGCTTAAAAAGTGTCTAAAAAGGTTTTAGGCTTTAGAGCCAGCATATTTGATATGTTCATAGCAGATTTCAGAGAAACCTGCAGCTTTTTGGTTAGGGAGGCAAAATATTATTTCTTGTTATTCTTGTTTAGAAATTTCTTGAGTAAGATCTTTATAATAAAGTTCAAGTTCAGAATATGGTTTGTAGAAGGAGAAGAATTCACTAGATGGTGGTATATCTTCAAGTAGTTTAGATTTGAAGTAGTTAGTAAAGTGAG